CTGGAGGACAGAGAAACCAAAAGGCACCTTGGAAAGTCACTCAAGAGGACATGGGGCAGCAGCCACTTGTTTGCTTCTTGCCCTGAGAGAAACACACTATGTTGTCCAGATCCATAGGCTCAAATGCAAATATCAGGACAAAGTTATCTAATTAGCAGCCTCACAAACTGCCTCTGGGTTTTATATGTTGTTTTTGTCAGGGTTGGTTTTGTATTGTAGTCTCCTCTGTTTGAAAGAACATAATGAAGGTGATTAAAATGATTCATTAACATTGTGCCCATTTGAGCAAACAGTCATTTTTATATTCCCTGGCATCAAGTGCAGTGATCTTCACACAAATGTCCAAAGTTCTTTTAGCTTTTTTAATTTTTCCACAGCTTGACTTTAATTAATGTTTCATATGCAAATTTATATACAATTACTGTACCAACTGACTAGCTTTCAATTTGATTAGGATTCATCTGGAAGAGGAAAGGGAAGATATCCTCACAGCAGACCGTATATTTAAATGAATAGTACAAATGTCTGTAAGTCTATCTGGTGTCCCTAGCCATGGGACATCTCTTCACTTAGAGGTTGTCTCCACAGATCCCCACTTGGTTCTAACAAAGAAAGGGATATATGTGGTACCAGTCAGAGGACTAGTTTTTATTTTGCTGTGAAAGCAGGGAAGTAGAATAGAATCCCATTTTTAAACTGAGTGCCTTGCTATGACATATCTAACATTTATCCTAGATTTTATCTTAAAAGCAGTAAGATTTTTGGCCACCTGCACTCTCCTCAGAAAAGCCAATAGTTGAGAATGTGCTGTTAATTTCCAGCCTAAATTTACTTATGGCCAATACCAAAAGTGGTTACTAGGTGCACTGTTTGGAAAACTTGTCAGAAGAAAAACAGAGGTGGATATGTTAAAGCTATATGATTTTTGGATGAACATTCTCTAGATCTGTATAAATAATTTAGCTATGGACATATAACTCCTTCTTTGCAGCTTTAAAAATATCAGGCTTTAATTGGGACATGAATGTTTATGTCTCCAAAAGCCCAATTTCCTTAGTATTTTCAGATGGTGAATCCAACACTCCAGGTAACACTTCTGGACAATTAAAGAACTACTTTTGGTTTTGTTTTTGTTTTTTTATACAGTGTATCCATATGTCTATAGAAAACATTTATGAAGAATGGTTCCAGTGCTGCCTGGGGCCCTGGAGTTTGGCTCACCAAGAAGTGCTTCTGAAAAGGACGGGTGGCCTTGATAGCACTTCAAATACCAAACAAGATTTTGACAACACAGCTGTACTTAGCTCATGAACTAGCTCTCATGTTTACCAAGGAAGCCTGTAATTTGTGGACCGAGAGTTATTTACTCCTCTTAAAAATAAACTCAGCAGTGAAAGCCCTAAGAGAAGAAGAGAAGATGCCAGAATCAAGGACTGTGGCACACTTGGGTCTCCTGCACAGACGTGATGGATGCTGCTGCTTTCTCACTGTGTTGAGCAGCCCACATGGCTGTGAGATATTTCTCGATGCTGTTTCAGCTCCCCAGAGTTGGGTGCTGAAGAGGAAGCAGGGCTGAGAAGGGACAGTCAGTGGGCTGGAAACACAGAATGAGAGCTGCAGGATTCACAGTAATGATAGGGCTGAGAGGAAGACAGCAAAAGAGGACTTTGTACCCTCCTTGTGCCATGAGGCTGGCATTGCACAACAGGCCAAAACAGAAGAGTACCTTTGGCTTTTTTTTTTTTTTTTAGGAAGCCCTTGCCAAAGATAAAAAAAGCCAGTTTGTATGCTGTTGCTAGGAATATGTTAGTGAAACAAGTGAGCTGGTCATGCAAACAACTTGTTCGACAGAAAGCAAACCAAGTGGCAAAAGCCAGGTAGAGTTCAACAACTAAGCCTGGAAATAAGACACCCAGATTGTTTCTGGATTTGCTCTGGTTCAGTTGATGCAGCAGATAAACAGTTAATGCCATTAGTGAACAAACGGCAGCGATCAAAAACGAACAGGAAAAGGCCACCACTTGCCATAATGTGAGTGAAACTATTGCGCTGAACGCCCTCCCTGCTGGGAAGTGAAAACACTAGATAAAAGCAAACAGAAAAAAGAAGTATTTTGGAAAAAACCTCTCCCTGCCCCAAATACATTTCTTCCTGCTGGAAATTTTTGAAGTCCAGTTATTACTGTTAAGCCAGGTTTGTTCACAGGAAAAACAGAGAATGATGGAGCTGAAGGAAGTCTCAATTCTCAGCCTCTGAAATACTCATAAGACTTTAGCGTTCGTGGATCCCATGTATAACAAGGATCATTGAGTCTGTTGTAGGGAGAAAACAGTGAAGAGAGACAGGTAGCATACTTAGCATGCTGCAGAAAGGGTTAAAAGTGGTCAGTTCATCACTTTTCTGTGTGGTGCCTTGGAAGTTTTCACAACACCAGATGTGTGAGGGAAAAAAAAACAGAAGAAAGCTAGCCCAGTGAACACCAGTAGACATCCTGGTGCCCTGGAAGCAGTTAAATTAACACCCAGCAGGGACAAATTTGCAGCTTTGGGAACAAGCTTAAACTTAGTCTGTTTTCATTCCTGGAGTGAATTTGCAAGTGTATGACAGTGAAGTACAGCCTGGGAAGGAGCAGGCGGCTTTGGATTAAGGATGGATAGCCAGAATTTGCTCCCACCCTCCCTCCTCCCACTCTGTTTTGCACTTAGGCTGTGAAGCTCCCAATGCTTCTGCTAATCCCTCTGTCTTCCCATGTCTTTTACCAGTTCCAGTAGGAAATAAAAAAGATTATTTTTTTCTTCCCATTCTAGCTTAAACCAGACAAGACTGGAGTCACCCCAGCAAAACCTGCTTTAGCTGGGATTGCAGTTAACAGTCCTTCAGAGAAATCTAGTTCTGCAATGGATAAAGTTGGATGCTTTTCTAACTAGAACCAAAGCACTAAATCCTTTAGTAATTCATCACTCAGTTGGAGCCGGGTTGTGGCCCGGCTTGCAACCACTGCAAATTATAGAAAAGACTGGAAAAAGAAAAGTCTGTGAGAGTACATCTAAACCGTCTTCACAGAATTACAGAAAGCCCTCACAGTCCCTCTCCCTCTTACAAGTTATATAACAAATTGGATCCACAAAAATATCATCTTTCCTCATTTTCACACCTTGGTTATTGCAAATATTTTGGCATCAGTCAATCATGGGGAACTTTTCAACTAAGGTGGATTACACAGCTTCTTATGAAGGCCTGAGAAGGCCAATCTCCATCATTCTTCCTTGTGTATCTTCCTCTCTTTGGCAAGGTAGGAAGAAACTTCAAACCATGAAACAGCATTTTCAGAGAGGTAGTTGATGCCCCAAACCTGCCAGTGTTTAAGAGGCATTTGAACCTTATAAAATTTTTGGTCAGCCTGATTTGGTGAGGCAATTGGACTACATGACTGTAGCTCCCTTCCAAATCAACTGTTCTTTATATTCTATTCTGTTCTGTTCTATAAGTTGGTTATGCAATGGCTACATTTGCAGCTGGAGATGGTGGAGGAGCTACAAGGTCCCCTGAAGGAAGAAAACCAGAGAAAGAGTTGCATTAGTTGCTTCCCAGTGGGGTAAATAGGCTGTTTGTTCTGTCTCCCTGATTGATGGAGACTGACAGGATGAACAGCACGGCCTGAAATGTGTAGTGTGTCCTTTCAGCTGGCAATTTGAAGGGCTCAGAGCTGCATTTCCTGCCCTGTCCTGAAGATTTCCTGCAGATGCTTTGGGAACTACTGGACATGAAGTCCTCATGCTCCGTCACTTATTCCTGGCATAGGATACAGAAACAGTTTTTAAGTGTTACCAATCTTCCACTTCTCCATTGAAAGACTGTTGGTTTTTGTCCCCTGTGTATCAGTAGCTCCAAATGTGCTCCATTTTCTCCCACACTAGTTCCCTTGGATGCCCTGTCTTCCTCTACCTGCACCCAAACTCACTCTCAGCTTTCTCCTCCTGAGCTCCCATTCCTTCTCACTCATTCGCTCTCACCCAAGCCAAATTTGCACTCTGTATTACTGCCTTCCAGCCTTCTTCCTACCGTCAGACTCCTGCACTTCACTCCTTCACCAGATGCTCTGTCCATCCCATTCAATTGCCCCCTTCTGGATCCAGTCCCATCTGGCTGTTTCTTTCCCTCGCACTAAACCTTCTGCTCCTTGACTCTCCCAGTTCTGTCCTTCCATGCCCAGTCTCCCTCTTGCAGCCAGCTGTTCACCTTCCACTCTTTCTCCAGACACCCCCTTAGGTGAGGTTTCCCACCACCAGCCAGCTGAGGTGAGTTTAACAGCTCGCTGTTGCTGGCAGAAGCAATCCCATCTCTGTTTCTGGTCTCCATCTATGTGCTCCTGCCACTTCTCTTGTGTTGGCTTTGCCTGACCCCACAAGCTGAAGAAAGCCTGCACAGAGAGAAAAAGGAGAGTTCTCTGCTGGCCTTGTGAGAGCTCAGACAAGTCCCAGAGCTGGTGCCAGAGGAAGTGGACACAAGACTTGGGTGGAGAAGGACTTCTTGCCCCTTTCTGAAGCTTCTAGTCTGATCTAAATGAGAGAGTCCAAAGCCTCTGTCCTCCTCTTCTTTTGACATATTGCCGCACAACTCAGTGCAAGTTTCAGTCTGCACACGACTTTCAGGCAGAACAGCAGAGCTGGGCTCATGGGTGCTGAGAGTTGTCTGCAGAGAGGTTGTTCCCCACCATGTGCCTCACTTGGGTACGTTGAGTGCACCTTCCTCACTGGTTACATGGGAGGCTTCGGAGGTTAACATGAAATACAGATATCTGGTACGAAAGAGAGGGATAAATATCCCTTCTTTTACTTAATTCATGTGTTTTCTACTGATTCAGTGGGTCTGGTTCAACTCCAGGCTCTGTCAGAGGATTTTTCTGCAATAGTAAGCATATCCAACAACTCCAGTGGATTGATTGTAACAGCTTTGAATGACATCTTCTTTCTTTCTTTCTTTCCCCAAATACACAAGAATATATAAAATATACAGTAACATTTCCTTCATCTCAAGGTTTGGCTGGCTTGCTTATTTAGATTATAAATTCTTTAGGGCAAAAACTGTCTCTTACACTGTGTGTGTACATTACCAGAAACAGGCATGCAGAAAATGAAGCAGGCAGATGGTTCTGGAATAGTTCTGTTGGAGCATCTGGCTGATTTTCTGGAACAGCATCACATTCAAATGGTAAATTCACCCGTGAAAACTCACATTAAAGGAACATTACTAGTTGTTGCTGTCTTAACAACAGTCATCTGTGGCCTGGGGCAGGTCTCCACCATAAAAAGACCAGCAGTAAAAGTGGCTGAGTGGAGGAATAAATATTTGCCATTAAAATATTCCTTCATTTTGAACCCCTAGAGAGACAAATTACTGGGACTAAGCACTCTTGAGCACTTTGGGGAATTAAAGTAATAGAAGACTCTAGGGAGAACTGGGGCTTGTTAATTTTTTTTTGTTGTTGTTGTTCCTTGACTTCTTGAGGTATTCATAAATTGCCTACAAACAAGTAAAAACTTACAGGAAAGGGTTTTTCACCATGCCAGCTCCAAATGGTTGTGGAATTATATTGTTTTTCCAGGCTGCCTTTCCAAAATCCCTGCAGGAAGTTGAGTCAGGGCTTGACTCTGGCCTCAGACACACGCACAGCAATAGCAGGAATCCTCACTTCAACCAGGTAAGAAGCCCTTGTGGACATCGTAACTTTACGGACAAGTCCACAGGTCAAGGTAGACTAACTTAGCAGATTTTCCATAATACCCATCTTATCTTTGATCTTACAGAAGTCAGATGAATGCTGTCCCTTTGAAACAGGTGCCACTTTTAATCTGAGTTTATGCAGTTCTTCACAGAATTATATTTTCCCCCCTCAGTGGAACTCCTAGGCACTTTTACAGTGTTAATAGATAATGAATGAGACTTCAAGTGTGCTGACACTAGTGAAGAACTCATCCAGAGAAGTTCAATGATGTTTTTCATTGGTACCTTCATGGAAGTACCTTCAAAAAGGAGTTCAAAGATGACCTCAGGAACTCTCTCACCTACCTCCCAAATACCCCAACCAAGACGCATCTGACCATGGATAATAATCTACTATTCTTCCAGTATATAAATGTGTTATGCAAAGAGTTCAAGAAACCTTATGGAATTTGGAGTGTCTCTGAAACTTTGAATTACAATATCCTCGGGGACTGACTGTCCACAGTGGGACTGTGTATGTGTTTTGTTCAGCAAACTGAGCATGAATGATATAAGGCACCAAGAAAACTGTCTGTAATGACAATAAACTTATGACATTTTCTCTCTGGTTTCATGCTCATAAATCAGCTATGACCCTGCAATTGACAGTGGTTATTGGGACATACTCAAGTTTTTATGCAGAATATTTAATTCAGAAGTCCTTGTACGAGGGAATGTGACCAAAATGGAGCTATCAAGAAAAGCTGTCATCCAAATATTATTTTTATAGAGAGCTTTGAGAGAAAGGTCACATTGTTATTTTCTTACACTATGGAACAGTTTCTATTATTACAGATTCCAAAAGCCTGGAATCGTTGTTATTTATGATCTAAGTCAAATTCAAGTCCTGGTTTGTACCAATTACCAAAAGCTACTCTAGGTTTTCTCTCTTCATTTCACAAATATTTGTAAACTACTTCCTTCACACGTGAAAAGAGAGAGGTTGCCTCACCACAATGTGCTCTTTTCTTCCATAGTGGTAAACACAGAGGCTTAGCAAAATACTCTTTTGATAAAGAAGACACATTTTCTTTGAGAAATTTCAGAGACTAAATTAGAAATGTAAGTTACTACTCAGAAGTAAATGGTAATAAGAGTTTTTTAATATCTGCACTTTCAAAAAAGACATTAATTCTTTTGGTCCTGATGCTTCCTCACATAGCACCCTAACTATCTGAGAGTTTAACATATACTTTTTATTGGATCCCCATGGTGTCCATGCTTAAAAAAAAAAAAAAGGTAGAAGGTCATATCCTGCTCACTGTGCTGTTGTGAATTCAATTACACTCTCCTGAAAATAAATGAAATTTCCCTGGGTTTACACTGGAGAAAAGGGGAGGAGAATCTGTTTCAGCATCTCTGCAGAGCTGCCAGGTTAGTTGAAATACAATCTCTGTCCCTTGGAGATGTTTCAGATGATGAATACATATTAAGCTCTGGGCATTGGAAGGGCTGGTGCAATGGAATGGTTTGCAAGGGCAGGTCACAGCAGCACCTGGAGCTCCTCTGCGGTGGCACATCCCTCGGTGCAGTGCTGATCAGTGGCCCTACAGGGAAAACAGGCTAGGAGCCAGTACTGGAGAAAGGACTGCTCAGTATTCAGCAGGGAGGAAGACTGGTTGGACTTGAAAGGAGCCTGTTAAGATCTGGTAAAGAAAATGATCTAAGGTGTGCTCCAATTAGGACAAGTAAGGACAAGTACCACCACCACCCCTTAAAATGTGACTAATCACAATTCTTGGGTTATTGAAGAAGAGAGTAGAGACGTAAAAAAGGAGAAGGTGATCCCATCCTCAGAGCAATTCTTAAGGAACAAGGACTAAAAAGGCCCTGAGTTTTCCACAAGAAGACACTGTTGTGGGTTGTATCTACACTGATGTTTCCAGACCCTTAAAACTATGGACTACTGGTTGTTCATGTAAAGTGGGGGGTGAAGCTCTCACGATCCCTTGTGTTATCCTTGCCTCCAAAGCCAAGACTAAATAGGACACATGACCACATGTAGCAGATGGAGTGGCCTTGCTCCGTTAGGGTTCCTGTTCTCATGAGCTCAGACTTCTATTCTCCCTTCCCTTGAGCAAATGAAGTTGAATAAAAACAATTGGAGAAAAATTCAGCTTGAAATCCTTGAGTTTAATTTGGCTTTAGGTCAAAACCAGAAGGGGATGAATAATATTTAATTTAGTAGATACAGGATTTTTTTTGTTGTTTCTTTGGTGATTTTTGTTTGTTTGTTTGGTTTGTTTTTACTTCTTCACAGAAACCGAATAGATCTTATTGAACAAGTAATTATACTTGTAATATATTACAATTATAGGCTGATAAAAGACTTTGAAAATGGGTGTGGATTTTCTTGGACTAGCTAAAAATTTAAAGTCTTCAGTTCAAAAATCTTAAGTCTTACTTCAGAAGCATCTCTCACTGACTAGACTACATACCTTCAAAAGAGAAAAGTTAAACTTCTACCCAGGCCCAGTTACAGATTTTCAGCTGAGGTTCTGTAGCAGTATCCCAAACCTGATTAAATCTGTATAGAATTTGGAGCTTCTAATTATTTCCTAGACAAAGAGAGTGTTGAATTTTTATGAGTTTTTTTTCATGACTATGTGTATGTTGCATTCAGATAGACAATAGAAAGGAATCTTTCTCAGAACAATGGAGAATAAAGGAAAGAGGCAAACAAACCCTTCATTCAGATCAACCTTCCAGGAAACCAAGATGATTTCCATCATTTTTATGACTTTTCCCTAGAGGCAAAAGACATCTAATTAGCAAATCCCTCTGTAAGTTTGTTTCGATTTGACACAAAAAGAATATGACAAGCAGAGAAATTATAAGCCTTATATTTCCAGTTAGCCAGTTTGGACTGATAAAACCAAGCTCAAATGGGTTTTGGGGATCTTAAAGCTTGGGGAGTAAAAATCCAGAGGGTGAGCTAGTTCTGCTAAAAATGTTAACTTAGAGTGTTCCAGTCAGTGATTTCTGATGGCAATGTCACAGCAGTCCTTTATGAATTACCAGCTACAAAGCATTGCAGTGAGTTGTGAGATGGTCCTATAATGACCTGAGGAGGAGTTGAATGATACCAAGCAGAATCAAATATTGATTCTTCAAGCAGAAATAGAGCATGAGTAAAATAAATATTAAACATGAAGTTAATTAGTAAATGCTGGTAATTAATCATGCATTACTTTTAATGATGTGTAGAAATCCTCAGAGGTGGGAGATGATCCTTCAGGAAGGCAGACCGTGCAGCCTAAATGAGATGATGTCCCCATTGCTAAAATCAGCATCAATCGACCCACAAGGTCGCTTTGACCTTTGTTGTCTTTACTGGGAGATAATACTAGTGGTGTCTCCTCCCCCTCCCATTTAATATCCAGATTTATGTGGTAAGCAGGCCCTGTCCAAGGGGTTGGTGGGCTCTTGCAGCAGTGCAGGCAGGTGCTAAAGGGTGCACAGAACTCATCAATACATACTGGCAGGTAAAAAGTTAGGTTCAAACCTTTTAAAAACCCTGTAATTTATGGACCAATTGTATTTCTAAGTTTTGTTCCAGAAACTACAAAATACTCTAATTGAGAGAGACGTAATTGATGTTCTGAACTTCATCAGCACTTTGGAACAACTGCTCAGGATCTGTAAAAACATCCAGTTATCTCTCTGGAGCACAGGAAAAACCGCATCCTGACTGCAAAAGCCCTGTAAACTGTGTCTAAAAAGCTTCCAAGCTTCTCAACTGTGCTGTGGGTCAGGTAGCCACATCTTGCAGAAACAGCTGTGGGAAGTGGTCAGATGACAAGAAACATTGGAAAATTAGCTGGCAGAAAGAAGTCTGTGATGATAGGCAAAACCCCTTCCTTGCTGTAATATCTAAAGTTTGGCACTCAGCAAAGTTCACTTAGGACAAATTTCCTAAACCAAAGATCTTGTGGCTGCACAGGTGAGAAATCCTGCTAGACTCATGGGAAGTCTTGCAAGTCCTACTAGGGCTGAGGTGCCAAGTCCCATCTTATTGGCTGGCCTCCCTGAGCAGTAGCCCAAGAGGACACAGAGCAAGTAGTTAACATTTCCTCAGGCAGAGTTGCTGTCATGTTTTTATGACTTTCCAGAATGTGACCTTGCAATTTTTTTTCAGAAAAACAGCAGTGTTTGCAGAAGTCTTGCCTGTCTCCCCTGTGATGACAGATTGCTGGAAGGTCCATCATGGCTGAATGAAGGAACTGTTAAAATTCATTTGGCTGCCAGTCTATTAGGAAAATGGGGAAATGCACCTAAGAAGAGAGCACACAGAGGCTCAAGAAGAGGAGGAATAGCTAGCAGACACCTCACAAAAAACAGCAAAACTGTGCTTGTATCTTGCAAACACTCATTCTACAGCATCTTTCAACAAAGCAATTTCTCATACCTGCCCACAGGTTTCATCTGGTATCTCTTGCTAAGGGACTTGTCATGGTTAGTTGGTCAGGAACTTTAAAAGAGTTAAAAGGAGAAAAGTGTGCAGGCATCCAACTGTATCTACTCTTTTTAAAGCATCAGCCTGTTCACCCAGTTTGGTGAAGAAATTCCAGCTTGGAATGATTTGTTTGTAGTGCTACTTTCTGGGAGTCCATGGAAAACCTAGGCTTTCATTTTTAAGTAGCTTCTCATAGCTTTTTCCCCATCTACAGATGATCTCCACACCTATATTGCAATTCCATATCTTCAGATATGTTGAGACAAAACCCCGCCTAAACTACTCAGAGTTGCCTAAACATTCCAAGGTCAAATGTGTTTTACTTGTTTTGCACCTGGTTTCCAGACTCTGGGGTAAAGCAAGTTTGCACATTCTCACTTTGATTGGCAGGTCTGAAACTTGGGATCTGAGACCTGGGTGCACAGGGACTTGGCATAGCACAGCTAAGCTACAACAGCAGATCTTGTCAGAGTACTGTCTCATGATAACACAGTGGGAGCTGGCCACATGGAATATAATTGTAGACATATCTGTGGCAACCTTCTCCTTCATCTCTAAGGCATGTATTTTATCCACAGAATATTCCCAGAAGTGTGATGGGTGTTTATAAAGCTCACAGATAAATCTTAGTTTTTCTTTGCCAAAGCGATAGCAAATGTGCAAACAGTATTTTTTGTCATATCAGTCAAAAGATATCTAAAAACAGAATTTCATAACCCTGCCTCCCTGAGAAAAATGATGGCACAAAAATTAACATTGTAAAACACAGTATCTAAGATAACATTGGAATTCATGAAAATTTTGACTTTCAAAAGAGCCTAAATTTTTGTAAGCTAGAAAGCTTAGATAGGAGTCCAAAATACACTTGCATCTGCCCTACTATCTCACCTTTCTGACAAGTATCCACATAATATATAGCAGTGACATATTCATTCCGTTGCATGAAGAGAAAAGTGTTAGGAGCATGTGCTTCTTGAAATTCTTCTAAATGTGCATTCATGATACACCTGAATAGCTGTTAAACATGTCATCACCAGCTCTGCAGAAGTGCATGCTGAGAGGGTCATTAAGTGCTACCAGGACACATCTCCTGCAGGCATGAGGCC